CAGCCAACCACGACGATGAGGATGAGGTCATTCCAGATCAACGTGATTCTCGAACCAAACGTCCCAACTGTTCCAGCTGTAGTTCGACGAAAACCACGAATATGTCAACTCGCGCAGCAGTCGTTATCAACGCCGCCCCTACGTCGAATATGTGAGTAGTGCTACGATTAAGACTAAAGTGTTTAACGAAAGGACATTTTTACGAACTTTAAGTGTTTTACGAAAATTTATTTTTATTTTACGCGCATTTTGATTTCCACACTAACGAAAACTCTCGCGAAGTTTTCTCCTTACGAAAAGGGGGTGTGACGATAATGAAGTGAAATCAAAATATTATTATTTAATTGTTTTTAAAATATGCGTTTTATTCGACGCACGAAATTTGTTGTACGTTCCTGAGTGCCGATTGTGCGCGTGCGCTCAGCCTACGACCAATAGCGAGTGAGTATGTCTCTCCACCGAGATCTTCTCCCTCCAACAACGCACCGAACCGAGGACCCCGAATGCACGGTCCGAGATCTTCACTTATCGAAGCGGTATTACCGCGATAGGGTCTCTGATGTGGTATTACCACGATGAGATCGAAGTGGTTTCACCACAAGCGGTATCACCGCAAGCGGTATCACCGCATAGGAGATAAAGAGGTGTTACCTCACGGGTAGGAACGCGCTCTCCCACGAAATCGTTCGGTGCCGTTTCGAAAGTCGTCGTTGTCCGAAATGTCGTTTATTGTATTGTAACTCGTCGCGTTACTATACTAAAATCCGTGTTTGCTTTATGTTATCGTTTTATCGTTTTGTAACTCGCCGCGTTACTCTTTTACGGAAATCCGCGTCTCACACGTTAATGTTTTTTATTGTAAATTAAACTAATCGTCAACGTCGTCGAAATCACGGTTAACGCACGAATTTATGTCGCTTTATGTACTTCGTTAATATTCGCGATATTACGTTTACGTTCTTTTCTCGTCTCCGCGCGGACGAATTTAGTCAATTTCTGTACTCATTATTTGTATCTCACATTTTATCGCTTTGTTGTTTTGTAAATATATTTTTGAAATTCGATTCTGTAATTAAAATGTTAAAATTCTTAAACGAACCCTGACCGACGAGCAATCCACACCCTTAACATTCATTACAACGTGGTCAAGGCAAACTCTTTCACAATACAGCTGCAGGCAAACACTTTGCGCAGACGCAAGTATATCCTCATGGAGGCATATCCGTTTATGCTCGCGGAGGCTTATATTTAAGGCTTACGGTGTAAACTCCTTCATAATCATAACAAGACTCTGCGTGGATGGGTACAGTTCCCTTTCTGAACCTGTAAATCTAAACTATTAATGATTCCAAAAAATAAATTTCAACACGATTAATACAGTGTTTGGATTCATTAAAGTAACTATAGTAATCGCTCCTACTAAATTCTTAATAAATTACATAGTTTTTGTAATCATTACAAAAAGTGGTCACATATCCGAGCTGTAATGAAATGAAAATCAATTTTTATTAGAAAATTCTACAAGAATTTAATTATTTAAATGCAAAAGTAAATAATTTATTGAATAATTGAATGTTTCTTAGAATCAAATTCTCATAAAGAATTTTATTAACAAGTTGTTAAATAATTGAATTCTTTTGTCAAATTTTATTAAAACTTGCATGAACATATTTCCTTTTTTCAAGGAATTCAATTATAATTGTATGAAATATAATTGAAACGCTGCGATCAGTTTTATTATTAGTAAAAATAATTGAATCGTTAAGAAGAATTTTATTACTCTTGAAAATAATTGAATTTCAACAATAATTTGTAACTTCTCTAAAATTAAATTTTTTTCTAGTGCTTTTAACGAAAATTCTTCAATAAATCCATTATTTTTTATAATTTTTAAAAAAGTTCTTTGAGAATTTTCAAATTCATTCGTTTACAATTGAATTTTACAAAATTTCAATTATTCGGAAATTCTGCAATTTAATATATATTGAAAAATAAAAACTTGAAATAATTTCAATAGGAACCCTATTAAACTTTTAAAAAGAATTAATTCTACAGAATTGTTTGTCAAAAACATTAAAAATTAAGAATTTCAATGATTTTAATTTGAAACTTTTTCAAAATTTAATTATTTCTAAAAACCCACGTTATAATGCTTTTAATATTTAATTATAATCTAAAATTTAAACTGACATTTATTTTTAAAACCCTTTTAATTAGTAAATTCTACAAGAATTCAATTATTTAAATAAAAAAATAAGTAATTTATTAATTTCACTAGCAAAATCCTACGCGCGCGATGCGCGCGTGAATGATTTAAAGAATTATCACGGTAGCAATTTACCTGCCTGTCTTACCACAGAAAAAGTACATACGGGAAAATGTTCATGATTAATAAAATGAAGAATATATTTCAGAACTATGGATACGAAAAAATTTTTGAAAAAAAAATTTTTTTTTTTTTTTTTTTTTTTTAAATTTCTTTACAATATATTCAATTATTTTCATAAATAGTAAAACTGCAGAATTTTAATTATTTTTAAGACAATTTTAATCAAATTCCTGGAAAAATGTAATTATTCTTAAAAATTTTATTAAAATTCGTCGAAAGAATTTAATTATTTCTAGAAACAGTAAAAAAATTTTCTCAAGAATTTAATTATTTCTATAAGTTGCAAAATTCTTTAGATTTACTAAATTCTTTTGAATACTATTTTTAAAAAGAATCCTTTACTAGAATTCAGCTATTTTCATAAATTTCTATAAAATTTTAAAAAACAACTCAATTATTTTCAAATGTAATAAAATTCTTCGCAGAAATTCAATTATATTTAAAATTTTGTTTAAATTCTTATCAAATTATTTTTATAAATAATTAAATTGTTCTGTACAATTCATTTTTTCAAAAATTTTAATAAAATTCTACGCAAACATTCAATTACTTTCATAAAAATAACATTCTTTGGAAGTATTCAATTACTTTCATAAATAGTAAAATTCTTTGCAGAAATTGAATTATTATCAATAAAATTTTAATAAAATTAAATAATCAAATTTTCAATTAAAATTATTAAAAAAACATTATTTTCAAAAAATTTTAAGAAACTCGCCAAAAGAATTATTTAAACCGGGAACAAAAAAATTATTATTACAAATTTTTAATTCCTTAAATTGTCAATATTGAGGGACGTATGACTCTCCCCAAATTTAACTCTATATAATTGTTATTTCATTGAATTTTAAACTTTATATTTAATAAACATTGAATTTAACGATCATTCCGAGTCAGGTGTCAAACAACATTTGTTGTTTTATTTTATACACCTGACTCGGAATGATCGTTAAATTCAATGATTATTAAATATTTATAACAACCGAGTGATAATATCATATAATAATTTTAAACTTTATAATTATTATTTACTCAAAAGGTAGATATCTAAAATTTAATGCTAACATTATTGCTTAGTTTTTATTTTATGTCACTGAATACGTAATTCGTAGAATATTCTATGAATTAATGAAAATCTATTGTTGATTATATGCAATAGAGATTATAAAAAATTAAATCTTCCATTAAATTAAAATTATGTAAAATATTATTTCGCGTATTTAAATTTATGTTATTTGAAAAATATCCTATAAAACCATCATTATTTCAATAATAAATAAAAATACATAATTCATAAAAATTATGAGAAATAAATATTATATTTTTAACGATTGTATTTAAAAATTAAAATATTAAGAATTGTAATAATGTTGTCATTAAATTATAGCCACTCACCTTAAGAGTAATTGGTGTTTATAAATTTTAAAATTCTATTAAATAACAATTATGATTGTATAAAGTAGAATTTGGGGGAAGTCGTGCGCCCCGAATTTTTAACCACAAAAATAGAAACAACACTTTAAAACATATCTGTCAAAACATTAATTATATAGAAAAACAAAAGACGACACTTTCTGTTCACGGAATAGCAAATTATTATTATGTATATATGTTTCTTGAAATTAAATTCTCATAAAATATGTTATTAACAAATTTTTTAAATCATTAAATTCTTTGGACGAATTCTAATAAAATTTTTAAGAATAATTACATTTTTCGAGGATTTCTATTAAAATTGTATTAAAAATAATTGAAATTCTGCAATTAGTTTTATTATTTATTAAAATAATTGAATTCCTAAAGGAATTTTATTATTTATAAAAGTAATTGAATCCCTGTAAAAAAGTTATTATTTATGAAAATAATTGAATTATTGCGAAGAAATTTATAAAAAAATTTTGTAAATAATTGAATTCCTGTAAAAATTTTTATTATTTATGAAAATAATTGAATGTTTGCGTAGAATTTTATTCAAATTTTTTTTAATAATGGAATCCTTTTGGAAAACTTTATTGAAATAGTATATATATTGAAAATCATTGAATTTTAGAAAACTTTTGAAAATAATAAAATTTTTGACAAGAATTTGATTAAAATTTTGTAAAATAATTGAATATCGGAGAAGAATTTGATTATTTATAAAGAGAATTGAAATTTTGACGAGAATTTTTTTAAATTTTTGAACACAATTGAATTTAGTAACAATATTACTAAGTTAGTTAGTAAGTTAGTAAGTAACTTACTAACTTACTATTCTCCCTGGAGAAGCTAAATTTGTTGAATTTTTACAAATCGTTGACTTTGGTGTTTTATTTAAACAGTAAAATTTCATTTATAGTTAAAAATAACACCAAAATAGATTATTTTAATCCTTTCTGATGTTAATTTAATCCTAGAGGGATTAAACTGTTGCAGATTATTTTAATCCATTCTGGTGTTATTTTAACACTTCACGTTTTACTGTGTTCTAGTGAAATCCTATAGAACTTTTTCAGCTGGGTATTCTAATTAATATACATGTTCTATCATTTCAATAAATGAAAGGTTTGGATTATGAAGAAATGCGTTGAAATAAAAATGATAGTAAACAATAGTAAAAGTGAAGACGTACGTTTCGGTGCCATTACAGCTGCTGCTGTTGTTGAGATGATTAACCGATGCCGGTGTATGAAGATGTGATGTGTCACGTGAGGAGGCGGCAAGTGCAACGGCATTCGAGAGCTTGAACCTGCCCCTGAGATGATCCTTTCGCCGCGCTCTTCTGCTGAGATCGAGTTCACTCGCTCCTCGATTCACGTAAGCCCCTTGAAGCGAGTCTCGAGACGAGCTGAAGTATCGCTGCGACACAGAGTATACCTGCACCAAGGGCAGTCTATGGGTTTAGCGAGGCGCACTTGCTTCTCATGTGTCAAACCAGTGCGCGCCGACTTACTTCGAGTGCACACTGTTCTTTTCACATCCCACTTTAATACTATTCTCCACTTTTGCTACTTTCTGTGTGCTACTTTCTCTATCAACTAAACTCTTTTTTCTATCAATCACGCACGAACGATTACTACGCATTTTACTATATCAGTTCAAAATAACTGATTTAGAAGCAAAATGTCAGTCACTCATTTAAATAGAAATATTTCTACTGAGAATTAGTTAAACATAACTGATGTTTCAGTCAATTTTTTTTTACTGATTCAATTAATCAAGTTTTACTAATTTTGCAGTTATTTTTACTGAAAATCAGTTATTCTTAACTGATTCAGAAGCAAAAAGTCAGTTACTTTAAAGTTAAAACCATGATTTTTAACTGATTTAAATTAAGAGAGAGTGAAAGTATTAAAAAAATACGAACTTTGCGGACCAAAAATTAAAAATTACGCACATTGCTTCGCAACACTTTTGATTCGTTTTTTGTCTCAATTTAATATCTTTAGAAAAACTGAAATTTTGTCATTTAAAGAAAAGAACAATTTTATATTAGAATCAAAACTTTTTGTTTCTTTAAGGTATTTCTCTTACTTTTATACTTGGAAAAAAACGATTTTGATAAAAAAATATTCTTCAAATTTTGAGTAAATGTTCCTTAAGGGTTCTCAAATTTTTGCAATGTAGAAGGCCTGCATAAAGGAATATTTACACAAAATTTCAAAAACATTTTATCAAAATTGATTTTTTAAGCAGAAAATAATACAATGATCCCTTTCAATTCTTTTTAGACTCAAAATTAAACAAATTTAAAGTAATGTCTGACTACAATTAACTATTAATACTGATTCCTTTTTAACTCTCTTAATTATAGACTCAAAATAAAACAAAATTAAAGCTATGTCTGACTACAATAGAATTTTACTACTGATCTATAAGAGTAATATAAGGAAGAATTCAGAAATTAATTTAGATTTTTTTTGGAAAACAATTTCTGGGTTGCCACCAAAATTTTAGTTTGTTCTTCCTTGACTTTTCTCTGATTTACAGACAAAATTTTGACTCTTTCCCTAACCCTAAACAATATTCTGATTCACTCTTAAAATGATTAGATACTCAAAAAATGTTCTATTGCATTTATTTACGAATTTCTTTAATTATTGCAAAATTAATAAATTATTCAAAAACATCAATAACTTTATTTTTTAAATAAATATTGAATCATTATTATTTTTCCATAAGAACTAATATTTTCAAAAATTTCAAATTCAAACCTTTTGAAATTCAATAACATTCTTTTCCAAAATTCAATTAACTTTCAAAATAATACAAATTTTCTCAGAAATTCAATTATTTTCAGAAAAATTTTGTAATTTTTCAAAAATATAAATATTCTTCGCAAGAATTAAATTATATCCAAAAATTTTAATAAAACTCTTCGCAGAAATTCAATTATTTTAAAAAAAATTTTTTAAATTCTTCGAAACAATTCAATTATTTTCAAAGATTTCAATAACGTTCATGGCAAGAATTTAATTGTTTTTAAATATATAGTAAAAAAACTAAAATTCCTCTTGAAATCAATTATTTTTAATGATTTTTGAAACAGTTCTTTGACAATTTTCAAATCCATTTGTTTACAATATACGAAATTTCAATTATTCGGAAATTCTTCAATGAAATAAATATTAGAAAATAAAAACTTCAAATAATTTCAAACAAAAAATGCGATGAAACTTTTTCAAAAAAATTAAAATTTTACAGAATTGTTAGTTAAAACTTAAAAGTATGAAAAATTTAAATTTTCAAAGATTTTAATTTGAAACCTTTTCAATTTTTAAATAATTTAATTCTTTTGACGAATTTTAATAAAATTTTTAAGAATAATTACATTTTTCGAGGAATTCGAATAAAATTGTATTAAAAATAATTCAAATTCTCCGATGAGTTTCATTATTTATAAAAATAATTGAATTCGTAAAAATAATTTGATTATTTATAAAAATAATTGAATCCCTGTAAAAATTTTATTATTTATAAAAATAGTTAAATTATTGTGAAGAAATTGATAAAAAAAAAAGTTGTAAGTAAAAGAATTCTTGTGGAATTTTTATTATTTATAAAAAGAATTAAATGTTTGCGTAAAACTTTGGTAATTTCTTTTTAAATAATTGAATTCTTTTGCAAAATTTTATTAAAATATTAGATTAGATATTGAAAATCATTGAATTGAGGGAAATTTTTGGAAGCAATTGAAATTTTTTTCAAGAATTTTATCAAAATTTTTGAAAATAATTGAAATTTTATTAAAATTTTTTAAAATAATAATTGAATTTCGGCGAAGAATTTTATTACCTTTGAAAATAATTAAAATTTTGACGAGAATTTTAAAAAAATTTTGAACTTAATTGAATTTCGGCGAAGAATTTTATTACTTCTAAAAATAACACTGGTTTGCAGTGAAATTGCCAATTGAACAAAACATTTTTTTTTCGAATAGTAGGTGTTTGTTGAGTAAGAAAATTATAGTTTTAATTTTTTTCCCTCGTGCAGTTTTTCTGTAGCTTCAAATTTTGCATTTTCGAGGTTCGACGCCACTTAAACTTACCTGTAGGAAAATTAGCTTGTCAAAATATAATAAATGAGGTATCATTGGAAAGGTTATTAAATTACCTTTCAATCCATAGGTCACAGAATAAAATTCAACAAAAATTGAGAGAGTTACAGTCGATTAAAGATGAAATTTCATGCCAATTTTGATGATTTTTAGACCTTTGAGTAACTTCTACTATTTTTTTCTACATCAAACAGGAAAGAAAGTTTAGGTTTTAATTTTTTTATTGATAGACTATATCATTACACAAATTTTGAGTCCTTGTGGACCTCGATTGGATTAAAAATGACAATTCTACACTAAATTTAGTGAACGAAACTACATTCTTCATTTTTAGTATCCCTTAAACATTTGCACCAAAAATTCAAGTAATAAAATTTGGTAAAGCGATAAAGTTACTGAAATCACTAATCATGAGTTTCTGAAGTCGTAGATTTCAAATGCAATATTAGTTTTGCAAATTTCAAAATGGCGGATCCAATATGGCGGACAAGTTTTCAAAAATCGATGAAATTCGTCTCAAATTCGTTACTCGGGGGTTTTCGGGATCGCTGATTACGAATCTGATGTCAGATTTCGAAAATTAAAAATGATGGACTCATAATGGTGAACGAGTTTTTTAAAATCCATCGAATTCGCACCTATTGGATCCGCCATTTTTAATTCTTGAAATCTGACATCGGGTTCGTAATCAGCGACCCCGAAAACCCCCGAGTAACGAATTTGAGACGAATTTCATCGATTTTTGAAAACTTGCCCGCCATATTGGATCCGCCATTTTGAAATTTGCAAAACTAATATTGCATTCGAAATCTACAATTTCAGAAATCCTTTATTAATGATTTTAGTAACTTTAGAGCTTAACTAAATTTTATTACTTCAATTTTTGCTGCAAATGTTTAAGGGATACTAAAAATGAAGAATGTAGTTTCGTTCACTAAATTTAGTGTAGAATTGTCATTTTTAATCCAATCGAGGTCCACAAGGACTCAAAATTTGTGTAATGATATAGTCTATCAATAAAAAAATTAAAACCTAAACATTCTTTCCTGTTTGATGTAGAAAAAAATAGTAGAAGTTACTCAAAGGTCTAAAAATCATCAAAATTGGCATGAAATTTCATCTTTAATCGACTGTAACTCTCTCAATTTTTGTTGAATTTTATTCTGTGACCTATGGATTGAAAGGTAATTTAATAACCTTTCCAATGATACCTCATTTATTATATTTTGACAAGCTAATTTTCCTACAGGTAAGTTTAAGTGGCGTCGAACCTCGAAAATGCAAAATTTGAAGCTACAGAAAAACTGCACGAGGGAAAAAAATTAAAACTATAATTTTCTTACTCAACAAACACCTACTATTCGAAAAAAAAATGTTTTGTTCGATTGGCAAAAAAAAGTTTTTAATTTGTAAACCTGTGTAATTGAATTTTTGCAATGATTTGTAACTTCTCCAAAATTCAATTTTTTTAGTGTTTTTAACTAAAATTCTCTTAGAAATACATTATTTTTAATAATTAATGAAATACATATTAAAAAGTTTAACTAATTTCAAAAGAATTTGAATTATTGAAGTTTTTAAAAAATCTAAGTTCTTTGAAATTTCTAATGAAATTTATTCAGAAATCAAATAAATTTTTTCATCAGTGTAATAAATGCGAATTTTTCTTCTTCAACAAAATTTTATTATATTATGTTATTCTTTTAGTAGAGAATAACTTTTATTAGTCACCGTTCGTGCGAAAATTGTAATTATGAATTTACATTTCTAAACTAAAAAGCAAGTGCGTCTCAAGCTACAATTTTTTTCTTTATATATAATCAAGCAATTCTTGTTTGAAATATAAACTCTTAAAAAGACTTTAACAACTAAGCATTCATTTTTCTAATTTTGCACTTCATATTTTTTGTCAAAATTTGAATTAGTTGTAAAAATAATTGTTTTAGTATAATTTTTACCCAATTTTTATAATAATAATTAATAATTATTGTTATATTATGATAATTGTTATTATAACAATAATAACAATCGTTATCTTAACATAATATCTTTTATCAGAATCAAACAAATAAGCTTTTCTAACAAAAGACATTTTTTTGTTCTATTTTAAAAATTTATTTTCCTCTTCATAGTTATTAATTATTCGTAACTAATTCAAATTTAAGAAACTTATTAAAATTTCACCTATTAGTCTTTCCGTCACTAATAAAGTATTTCTTTACCGCAATTTGTTCATATTTTTCAAAAGCGATTTTTTCCACATAATTCTAGTTGATCAGTGATATTAGAAAATATCGAAAATTATAAAATTTAAAAAGTACCTACAATTAAAAAATTGTAATAAAATTAAAATGTAAAATAAATAATATAATAATAAAAGAATAAAGATCTTAAACTTATTATTTAAATTATATGGTTTTAGAAATTTCTTTTATCAATAATAATAATAACGAGAATATTATTATTAACAATAATAATATAATAAAAAGTAATTAGCTCTATTCGATTTGAAATTGCTTCTCTCTTAAGCATTGTAACAAGAATTCAATATTTAATTCAAGTTAAGTAGATTATATGTCTGTCTTTAAACAAACCTAATTTAATTATCGAAGAAAGAAAACGTCCGTTTTGGATTTATTTCCTTTCTACTTTTGTTCTACTATCTATTATAGATTCTCCCTTTCACTCTTGTTTATGTAATATACGGATTTCTTGATTTTATCACCCCTCCCCATTGACCCTCTTTTTTTCATTTAGAAAAATAACTCCAAATTTCTTTAAACATAAATTGTTCTTACTATACAATACTAGGTGTCTTTGAAAAAAAATTTTTTTAACTTTTCTTCAACCTATCGATATTATGTATTAAAAATTTAAAATAAAAAAACTTCTTAACTTAATTGCATTTAAAGTAAAAATAGATTTTAAAACAGAAAATTTAAATTCGCATCGAGATTATTTAAAATAAAAACACTTAAATTTAGTTAATTGCATTTAGAGTCAAAATAGATTTCGCATGATTTTTTATGTAAATAAAGTAGTGGAATAAAAAATCGATAAATTTAAATAAGTTCCTTTAAACTAATACGTACTGGGGATTTCGAAAAAAAGGACAAAATAGCATTGAGCTAATCTGTGAAATTAATCTTATACGATTGTTTAATAGTCTACATTAAAGAGATTAAGTTAACAAAAGAGTTTTAAGAACGTCGTCCATTAATTTTAAGTAAAACGGAAAAGTTCTTTTCTGTACTAAAAACTATTTTTAATTATTCTATTCATTTTTTTCATTTATATACTATTGTTATTACACCAATATTTTCTTTTCTTTTATTCTTTAATCTTTTTTTCCTTATCGCATTATTATTAATATTTTATTTTTTTAACGTCTAAGATTGTAAAAGTTAAACTAATCAAATTGTAAAAAATACTAATAGTATACTAGTGTAAAAACGACTAATAGTATTATTTGTACAAATAGTGTAAACTACTAATAGTACTATTAATGCCAAATAGTATAAAATAATACTTAGGTAAATAGTACTAAATAGTAAAAAATATTGACGGTACTAATAATAATAAATAATAAAAAATAATATTAGTACTAATAATACCAAATAGTGTGGAATAGTAATAGTACTAATAATACTAAATAGTATAGAATAGTAATAGTACTAATAATACTAAATAGAATGGAATAGTAGTAGTATTAATAATACCAAATAGTAAAAAAATACTAATAGTATTAGTACTGAATAGTATAAAACGCTGATTGTATTAATAATATAAAATAGAAAAATATACTAATAGTATTATTGCCGAAAAGTAAAAAATATTAACAGTACTAATGATACAAAATAGCAGAAAATTAAAAATAAAATCCCTTCTAAAATACTAATTAATAATTAAAAGATTAATACCAAATAGTAAGAAATACTAATAGTAAAAATTATTGATTGTATTAATAATACCAAATTAAAAATTAAATTCTCACTAAAAAAATGAAGAAAAAAATAGCAGCAGCTAATTAATCGCGAAAAACATTTATGTAAGACTAATTTTCAAAGAATAAATTAATAATTGCCGCCTATGTAAAATGCTTTCATGGGAATTCATGAATTTTGAACAATAAAATGCAACTCGACTGAAATGCGCCGGGTTATCTTATCAGCGTTTTGTTCGTTAACGACTATACGAGATTAGATAGAACAATTGTGCTTTAAATTATAGTGCTCTAGATTTATCCTGATTGGTAACATGTGTCCCCGATCTCAATTAAACACATTCCACGGCATCTTTTGTGGCTACTAAATGCAATTTTCCATAAATCAAATTTAAAAAAAAACAAAGATCTTATAGAAAAAAATTACCATTTAATTCAATAACCAAAATATTAAAAGATAAAGAAATATTGATATTTGAAGGAAAGAAAAAAATTTCCCTTTTGATTAGAATAGAAAATTTTGAAATAAAAATTTATTTATTTGTAAAATAATGTTAAATTACAAATAAATAAATAAATAAAAAAAAATTATATTTACGAAAAAAATAAAAGGGAAAAAATGTAAAAAAGAAGATTAAAAAATAGAGTAGAAAAAGAATGTCCCTAAAATTTTAGAAACGTTGAAATAAACGCCGATTCTTTTATTACTCCATTCAATTTGAATTTTATCACAAAATATTTTTTTATATTTAAAAAATTGATTTTTAACTCAATAAATATTTAATTAACTTTTCTTCATCGCACTATGGAAATTTTTAGAAATATTGAAACAGATAAAAATATTTCGTTCATTCGAATATTCAAAAGAAAATGGAAAATATAGATTAAAAATTAAGTAAAAAAATCAAGAAAAGATTAAAAACTGGAATAAAAAGAATTAAAAATAAATTAAAAGACAAAGTAAAAAAAGCCAAATAAAGATTAAAAAATTTAAATAAAGGATTAAAAAAATAGAGACATAAAAAAGATTAAAAATATAGTGTAAAAAATAAAGTAAAAAATAGAGTAAGAATGGAGTAAAAAATATAGTAAGAAAATAAAGCAAAGTAAATTAAAAAATAAATTTTAAAAAATGAATAAGTAAAAATAATTTCTAGAAAGTTTTGAATGTTTATATGAACAAAATATTTTTTGTTTAAATATTTTCAAAAATTATTACCTACACTGAAATAAAAAAATAATTTAAATTACATATTTTTAATTCAATTAAGAATTTTCTTATATCCTATAGAAAATAATTTTTTTTCAACAAAATATAAATTAAAAGAAGTAACAAAAAAATTGTCATCTATGAAAACGTTTAATATTTTAGGAATATAAAAATAGAGTAAAATTATTGTAAAACTAAATAATTAAGTAAAAAGTAGAAAACAATAGAGATAAATAGTGTAAAAAAATAATCTAAAGAATAAATAAAAAAAAATTAAACAATAGATTTCTCTAAAATTTTAAACGTTCAAATGAACCAAATTTTTTTTTTTTAAATACTTCTAAAAATGACAGTACTAAAGAATGAATAAACAAATGCAAATTAAGCACTTATTAATTTAATTAAGGGGAGACGTCGACTACATTTTTAATTATATCAAAAAAATGATTTAAATCTGCCGTAAAATTATTTTTATCGTAATTTTTTTAGAGACAATCAATGGTCAGAAAATAAAATCGGTTTTTAGGTTGAAAATACTAAAAAATACCATTGTTATAGTTTTTTTGTTATGGAAATTCACTTGTTTATTATTTTAACTAATTTTAAATCATAATTTTTTATATTTTTATTTTAAAAAATCATGATTTAAAATTAGAAAAATAAGAATGTCCATATAAAAAAATGGTATAACAATATAACATTTTTTAGCATTTTCAACCTAAAAACAATGTTTCATTAAAAAAAAATACTTCAAAAATTATAAAAATCAATCTTTTAAATGCGATAATTTTTTTGAAGATAAAAAAACATATTTTCTACAAAATTACGAATGGATTTTAAAATCTATCAATTTTTAAGAAAAATAAAATTCCAAAAAATGGCAGAATATTTCTGACCGATTTTATTTTCTAACCATTGATTTCCTCTCAAAAACTGACTATAAATATTAAAAATACTATAAATATTATAAAATTTCCCCCTAAGAATTAATTTTCTTAACAAAAAAATAACTTTTTCGAACGAAATATACAATATTAAAAGAAATAGCAAAAATATATTGTCCTTCATCTGAACGTTTAGGAACTTATTATTGAAACTTTATGAATATAAAAAAAGAGTAGAAAAAAATAAAAGTTAAAAAGTAGAATAAAGTGTAAAAGATGGAGTTAAAAGAAAAAAAACAAGAATAAAAAATAGAGTAAAACAAGAGTAAAAAAATGGACTAAAAGAGTAGGAAATGGAGGAAATGGTAGAAAATAGAGTAAAAATCAAAATATAAAAATTAGTGACGGAATTCCAAATACTAAATGAGTGTGAATATAACGTCTCATAATTTCTAAACGTTCTTCAAGTTTGGTAAAAAGTTTCCCTTTTTTCCAGAATAAAAAGTTCTGTTGGAAAAGGAAACGTTAATTTACTGGCATTCGTTTCGGTTGCGGAAAAAAAGAAAGAGAGAAGGAGATAGAGGGAAAAGAGAGAGGAGAGAAAGTGAGAGAGAAAGAAAGAGACATAGAGAGAAAAATAGAAATAGAGAAAAAGAAAGAGGAAGGAAAGAAAGAAAGAGAGGGAGAGAGTAATAGAGAAAGAATGGGAGAAAGAGAGATAAAAATAGGATGAACGAACCTGCTGTTGCTGATGGTGATAGTAGTGGTGGGTGGGAGTATGTCGGCCCATGAACTTACTGCTGACGAGATCAAGAAGACTTTGTCTTGAGGGTAGAACGCCTCGGGACACGTTCTCCACACTCTTTGTGTCGTCGTCCCTATCTCTGTTGGTACCTCTTCCATTTCCTGTTCTGGAAACTCTTTCGCCAAGTTTTTCGACCGTGCAGCCCAATGTGACTGCTGAACCAACACTCAGGCGATCGACCGCATGGCCGCCGCCACCTCCACCGCCCGTCGACGTGACGATTGCTGAAAAAACAGAAAAAAACATTTTCTTTAATACCAATTTTCTCCGCTAAATTCTTCTTCTTCTTCTTCTTCTTCTTCAAAAAAAAAAAAAATTGAATTATAAACCAGCAATATACATCGAAAACACAACTTCTACTTATGAATAATAAATGATTTTTATTTTACTGTATTTTTTATTTATATCGTATTAGCAATGGTTTTCACACTTGAGATTATTTATTTATAGAAAAAAAAACTTATTTCTCTATTATAAATGGCTTAAAATGAAGGAGTATTTACACTTCATATTTTATGATCTATTTATATTATAATTATTTACTATTAACTTATTATTTATTTATCATTAATTACTATTATTTAACAACTTAGGTAATGAATAAATTTATTAACTTAACAAATTAGGTAATGAATAAATTTATTTATTTAACAAATTAGATAATAAATAAATTTTGTTAATTCCAATTTACTAGATGTAGAATTCTATTAATTTGTTTATATTCTATTAAACAAATAGAAAAATAACAAAATACAACAAATAAAATGGAAAGAAACAAAATAAAGTAAAAACGTAAACAGAAATTAAAACCAAATAATAAATAAAGAAAATTAAAAAGTAATAAGCGAGGTAATAAGTTAAAATAAACTAAAAGGAAATAAAAATAAAATGGAAAGCAAACAAAAAATTAAAATCAAATAAGGAAAAATAAACAAACAAAATGAAATAAAATTAAAACATAAACAAAATAACAAAATTAAAAGAAACAAAAAATAAAGCAAAATACATTAAAAAAGCTAATTAAAAAATTAAAATGAAATAACAAAAAACAATAAAATAACCAAAAGAACAATAAACAAAATAAAACTAACATAACATGAAAATCAAATAAATAAAAGTAAATACCAAAAGAAAGTGAAGTAAAATTTACAAAATAGATATGAAATAAATTTATTTCTGATTCATTAAAAATAGAATTAGTTTATCTATTTATTTACATATTAAATAAATAAATTAGAAATATAACAAAATATAATACATAAAACGAAATGAAACAATAAAATAGCAAACACAAATTAAAAACAAATAAGGAAAATATTAAATAACATTACATTAACTAAAAAGAAAAAAATAAAAGAAAACAAAAAATAATACAAAATAGAAAAACAAATTAACAAAATAAACTAAAATTAAAAAAACAAATAAAATGAATACAAACATAGAATGTAATAAAATTTATTAATTTCTGATTTATTAGAAGTAGAATTCTATTAATTTATTATAACAAGAAACATATTATTATAAATAATAAGATATAATAAACTAATACGAAACATTTTATTAGTTTATTACATCTTATTACTTTTTGTTTTTTAAATTTGATTTTAATTTTTCTTTGCTACTTTTTTATTATACTTCTTTTTATTTTATTTATTGTACTTTGTTATTTTTCTAATTTCTTTATTTTATAAAAAAAAATAATTACATAATAGAATTCTACTTCTAATAAATCGCAGAAATAAATTTATTTTATAACTAATGTGTTTGCTTTTTATTTTATTTCTTGTTAAAAATAAAATAAAAAAAAACCAAAAATTTAAATCAAGCATGGAGAATAAAAAAAAAATACCAAAAGAACAAAATAGAAAGAAACAAAAAAAATGAAAGCAAAATAAAACAGAAAATTAAAAAATTAAAATCAAGTAAAGAAAATAAAAACATTGAAAAAATGAAATAATGAAAAAATAAAAACCAATTTAAAATTAAAATCAATCAAATTAAAAACAAAGCGTAAAAACGAAGTAAATAATAAATAAGTATCAATTCATAAATTAACTATAATAATTTGAATGTTCTTTCATTCATTCACTTTTTATGTCCTTCAAACTCTGAAGTTTTGTCTTTTGTTTATACTTTTGTTTTTTGCTATCTTTAAATAGATTGTATATTATATTATTATGTTATAATTATTTTTATTTTATAATTAATTCAAAATTGTAATGACAAATAGAAATCATCAGATTTTTTTTACTTCGTTTCATTAAAATTTTGTTAAATATTATGTTTTGTCAAATTGAAATTATGCAGATTTTTGTTCTTTACTTCTAAACAAAATTAGAGAATTCTTAAACAACTGTGATTAAGAAATAGAAAATTTATTAATTTTGCATTATTTTTGTTTATGAATCACAATTTTTTTAACAAAATTATTATTTTGTTTTAGAAAAAGAAGAAAAATATTTGCACAATTCCTATTTTTAATCTTACTTTTGAAACAGGATTTTCCACAGGAATTAAGACATTTAAAAATTTCAAATTCAAACCTTTTTTAAATTAAACAACATATATATAAAAGTATTGTTATAAAACATGAAGATATCGATTGCTCCGAGTCGAAGACTCGGAGTGATCGATTTCTTCATGTTTCATTAATAATTAAAAAATGACCGAGAGATAAAATAATTATTTTATAAGAATATTGTTACTGTAACTTCATCAAAATTATTTTCATCATTTTAATTCAAATTATTATTTTCTAGAATTTTAAATTATTTTTTATGAAAATAATAATTGAATTTCTTTAAAAAAATTTATTATTTATGAAAATAATTGAACTTTAGAGAAGAATTATGTTATTTATAAAGGTAATTGGGATTTTTACGAGAATTTTTTCAAATTTTGTAATTTTGATCATAGTTGAATTTTATAAGAAGAATTTTATTTTTTTTTGAAAATAATTGAATTTCTGCAATTATTTGTAATTTCTCCAAAATTGAATTTTTTTTTTAGTGTTTTCAACAACAATTTAAATTAGAAAATTTTTAAATTCTATTATTTTTAAAATTACTAATTTTATTTAAAAAAGGTAGTAAGAAGTTAGCCGCGCGAATTTTTGCTAGTATAAATAATAAAGTGATTGCATTTACATAGAGTACTCAATTGATAAATAAAATACTCAACTAAGAAGCAGAGCGCAAGCGCGTCAGGATAATGAGAGCGACAGAGAAGTTCGAGTGCTTCTCTCTCGCTCTCATTGTCCCCACTCCATTTCTCGCGCTTGCGCACCGCTCCTCCCTTATTTAAATACACAAAATTACACACGTAGGGGAGAGTGGGGCAAAGGCGCTAGGTTTACATTTATCGATGTATATTTTTTAAATTAAGCAATTAATTTATGCGGTCTTTGTTTTTCATTATTCTAAAACTAATCAACAAGAAATTTTAATAGTTGATATTTAGTATATTAAAATTATAATTACATTATTTAATGAAATTTAAACACAATGCAAAAAATGCCTTTGCCCCACACGCTGGGGCAGCGACGTTTTCGCTTATATTTCTAAAAGAAAGCAATTATAAGCCTTAAAAAAATTAACAAGTGATATTTATTAGTATAATATTTACGAAACATAAGGTTAACAACATATTATTAAAAGAATTAAACTATTTAAATAGAAAATAAAAACTTTTAGTGATTTTAACCTTATATTGTGAATTAATACATAGAAAATTGGAATATTCAATTGTTTTTAACCAAATTATGTTCAATATTGCCTTTGCCCCACATAACAAACTTTTTTTTTACTTTAAATTTCAAATATTTAGATACAAAATTAAACTAAAACACCACGCCAGTTGTGTAGAGAAATATTTAATTTATTTACATGTTACGTTTTTAAAAATTAAATACTTACACTTATGTATTAAAAAATAAAAGTTTGTTCAGTAAAATTATCATTTTATTTTTGCAAAACAATTTTTTTGTTATATTTCTTAAAATATTTGATATTTTTAGGTTTTTCTTTTTTTAATCAATTAGTCTGATTGCATTGCAACTTAATTTTTAATGCCAATTGGAAAAGACAGAAAATAAAGGAGATATTTTAAAAAACGTCTTTGCCCCGCATAGCGCCTTTCCCCCACTCTCCCCTAAATGTCATTTTTAAAAAAGGAGAAAAAATACAAGTGTGCGATGTAAACACAGAAGAAAATGTAATCATACTTGTCAGAAATGTTCCCTCCAGAGAGAGAGAGAGAGAGAGAGCGAGCGATTAAGAGACCTTGTTTTTATTTCAGAAAAATTTTCAAATTACCCGGACAAAAAAAGATTTCGCTTGGCCTAATTACACTTACCCTAATTTATAATTCATTAAAATAATTATATTCAGTATTAATTAAAGCAAAGTTGAATATTGTATAACAAACGTGTCGAGGGGACGTGACTGGAAAGCGGAAAACGTGGGAGACGTGAATTGTACCAAAGTTTAACGTTGATAGTGTGGTTTTCGTTTAGTATTTTTTTTCTTCTACTTCTTCTTTTTTTTATCCTGTTTGTCAGTGTGTCGAGGTTTGCAAGTGCAGCAGCCTAATTACGTCACTGATAACGTGCCAGTGGCGAGAATTTCTCATGCTTTTCAACGCCTTTCTTTCTTTCCTTTCTCTCTCACTCTTTTTCTTTCTTATTCTTTTTCTTTCTTTCTCGTACTCTTTTTCTCTCTCGCTCTCTCTTAGAGACGTGTACTCTTTTTTTCCTTCTCCTTTTTTCAAGTTAAGACACACGACCCAGTTTTCATCCTTGTTTTTATCTATCAGAGGATAAAGTGTCGCCAGAAAATGCTGGTCCGATTAAGCTCGAAAATTCTTTCTCTCGCTCGCTCTCTGTCATACTTACAACGAGTGGGGGCACTATCTTTAGAGAAATCGATGAAAGAACGGAATAACTCACCAAGATTTTATGCTTTTTTACTCATTTCTCTATCGTCATTTTTTTTTCATCAATTTTTTTTTCTTTTTGCAATTTTAATACCGTCTAAATCTTGAAAAATCTCTTTAGAAACATTTTTCGCTATTCATTTCTATTATTTCAATTGTTAACCAAAAGGCAACTATTATGAATCTAAAGGGGGAAAAATAGAGTTGCAAAAATTCTAGACTTTTGCTAGAATGATTCCATAAAATGCACTGAGAAAATAATATATTTGAATAAAAAATTATAATCAAATTA